AGTATCTAACCAATGATAGCCAATGTTTATGCATATCTTACCAATGATAGCCAACGATTTATACATATCTAACCAATGATAACCAATATTTTATACATATCTAACCAATGATAGCCAATGTTTTATGCATATCTAACCAATGATAGCCAATGTTTTATGCATATCTTACCAATGATAGCCAACGATTTATACATATCTAACCAATGATAGCCAATATTTTATACATATCTAACCAATGATAGCCAATGTTTTATGCATATCTAACCAATGATAGCCAACGTTTTATGCATATCTAACCAATGATAGCCAACGATTTATGCATATCTAACCAATGATAGCCAACGATTTATGCATATCTAACCAATGATAACAATATGATTATAAGAACTGGATTTGTAACATTTACAACAGAGCGAACAAAGACCAAACTCATCAGGTATGCTTAGAAGTTCCTAGAAAATACCTTATATGTGCATGGAGTAAAACAAGATATCAGAAAACGTTGCACATGTTGTTTCAATGAAGATTAAGATTTAATAAAAAATATTATAGCATAAAAAACTCAAAACCATGTATACTTAAAATCATATTGCAGAAACTCCAATCCAATTATGTCAATAGTGGAAATGGTTTCTCAGAAAAACTGTTAGTAAAGTTTACTTTCTATCTACCATAAAAAATGTAGTTCCTTGTTTCCGTGACTGAGCATTTAACTCTTTAGTTGGGTGGAAACGGGTTTGATTCATTCCAACTAACCTTCCAGACTTGGTAACCAAGTTCGCTTCAGGAATGTAATTCAGACAAGGATGTCTGCCCTGGTGTTCTGTCTACTGATGTAAAGGGGTGTGACACAGATATTGACACCACACATAGGACCATCTATCGCAAGTTGTACGAATGGTACGACTTAGATTGTACTCAAAATATAAACACAATTACTTGACTGTTTTGTTTATGTGGCACTGAACCATCATTTTTTTATTACAATTTTATTGTACAACTTTATGCTTTCAGGAGTTGACATTCTAATTATTAGCAAAAATTTCCAAAAAACTGTTTACTACACTAGATCTAACTTAGGTTTTTTGTATATAAGAATCTTTTGGATATTAATGAGATTATAATACTCATGTTTATATATAATAAGTATAGCATACTGGAAGTCTTTGCCTCTCAGACAAAAAAACTGAATCATTTAAGCCATTGACTGACTGTCAACTTTCTAATTAGGCTTATGGCCAAAATATTTCTAATAGGTTCCGTTCTCTAAGATGTGAGTGCATTCAATACGTGATTCTACTTTATTTACACATGTATATGATTGAACACACTCAAATGAAAACAAAGAGACTTAAACCAGAGTATAATACAATTTACTCCGTTTCTGCTTGTGCTGACATAATCTGTATACTTTGTTTGAAATTGATAATCAGATTGTATGTTCCATCTCCATGTAACACCTAAAGTGAAAATTTTTCTTTCACTTAAAACGTATTTCTGATAGGTACCTACCTCCCCTCACACTAAGCTATCTCAGATCTTCTTTCTGCCCCCTAAGCATTGCTAAAACATTTTCATGCTCAGCACACCAGTCTATATACCCCATTAATCTGTGCCATGTTTGAACACGTACATGTAACTACTCTCCACCAATAATATTGTGGCACCTATACTGGTGCAGCTATCTCACTCTGCTATTCCCACTCAATCCTCAATTTCGAGAATTAGCAGGCTCTGAAAAAAAAGAACGCCAGCCGTGGGGAGCAAACATGGAAAGTGTGAGAGGAGGTAAGTATGGATTGGAAATACATTTTCAGAGTAAGAAAAATGTTAACTTCTGAAATGGTCTTACCTCCCAGAATGAACAGAAGTGCTCCAAGATGAAAACAAAGCACACTTGTGGGGTACCACACTACTTCTTGAACAGGTATGCTCTTTGACCCTTGAAGTAGAAATGAATCTGATACGGGCAGAAAAAAGGATGTGCACCAATGCAATTTGTGCTGAGAGGTGCAATCAATAGTAAAATATAAACCAAATTAGCACAACCTCAACCAGAAAGACGAGGTTCCGTAATTCGTCCTCAGCACTGGGAGGTTGAGGATAAAATAGATAAAAACAAATATATATTGTAACATGAACAGAGTGGCTAGGGCAAGGTCAAAAACCCCAACCATAAGTAAACAAAGTGTCATACATCAAGCAAATAGAAGTATGAAGACGTAATTAGCTTTCAGTTGCAACTGTAGAAACTCCCAAAACCACCATAGGAGAAAGAAGTACAACAAACTGAATCCAGCATTATGGGGTCATGGCATTGCCTCAACTCAACTGTAAGAATGGGGTAAGATCTGTAACCAGTATAACGAGCAGAAGTCATAAATAACTCAACCATAAATGCATCTAGAATTATGAGTAGGATATGGAACATTTGATCAACTATAGGAACAGTGTACGTATGTCCTGTTGCTGGTATTATGAGGCAGACGAAGTACCCTAAACTCAACTGTAGGAATAGGAAAAGAACCTCCTGCAACCAGAATTAATGAGAGGAGGGGCCTCTACTGCACACAACAATACGAACAGGGCAGTGTCAGTGCCTATTTTTAAAAGCAGACCGACTGAGATTTACTCAATCAAAAGGTCGGCAGATATGGGCAGAAATTCCTTTCTGCTTTACTCATAAACTACATAAGTGACGGTCCATCATTGGGAGAAACGTACTGATAACTAGTAAAAGGTGTATATATAGATAGATACATACATACAACTGAGTATGTCACCAGTGGTTTTGCAGAACACCCCATCTCCCCAGTGACCATCATACAGCAATTAGTAAATAATGTAGGTCTGTGACAAAGCAACACCCACCACAGAGTGGGATCCCATTATCAGTGGTAAAAACTAGAGTTACTGAAAATAAAATCCTCAATGAAACGAAGTGATATGACTTACACCAGTCAAAGGCAAATGGACGTGTGTGGAATCACCATGGGTGGGAGACGATATCCACCCAAGGAAGATACAGCCAGATCATACAAATAATGAGCAACAAAGGTATTGGGAGTAGTCTACAGTCTGGCCTGAATGATCCCCTCCAAAGAATGGCGAATGCAAGCAGCCAAAGACATGGTGATATGACAAATTTGATGAGAAGAAACCTTATGGAAATGGTGACCGTCCATGGATAAGTCTGAATACACCAGCCTAATGCATTGACAAATCAAACTATGACCTAAATATCTGATCAATGACATCCACAAAAAAGGAGGAGATAAAAACAGGTCTTGAAGGAGAGATGGTACATTGAACACGTATGAAAAGGTTCAAAGGGAGAATGGGAAAGGGCATAAAAGACCACATTGAGATCCCAATCAGGTAAATCAAAGGAATGTGGAGGATGCATGACTCAAAAGGAGCAGAAAATAAGGGAAATGACAGAGGAAGACAAAACCTTAAGAAACTCAGAGAAATAAAAGGTGTTCGACAAGGCTGCCCAATAGCTAGACATGGTCAAAGCAGACAATCCTTTGCAAAACAACCAGGTGAATAATTTGGAAAGTTGAGGAAGGGAAGGGTGGGAAGGATGGAAGCCATTTCGAATAGACCAAAGGTGGAAGGCAGACCATCACTTTTGGTAAATGAAAATGGAAGAAGGTTTAATGGATCAGGAAAGGAAGTATGTAACACGTGGAGTCAGTCCTTGGGCTGAGGCAACGGACCTGACAAAAACCACGTGTGAAGACAGATTATGGTGATGTCTGGAAGAACAATGTCCAACTGAGATTGACAGAGTAGAGACTGAGACAGAGGTAAGAACAGGGGAGGTTGTACAAGTAAAGGTTGGAGGAGGAAACCATTGGTGCAATGAACAATATGGAGCCACATCTAGGACTAGACATGAAGTAGTTTGGATTAGGGATAGAACTCTGGAGAGGAGTTGAATAGGAGGGTAAGCATAGATGTGAAGACCCCTCCAATCTTGACTAAATGCATCCACCCCCCAGAGCTAACGGGTGTAGAACAAGATACCAAAAGGAAAGAAGTTTGGTGTTCCAGTAGGTGACAAAGGCATCAGTATGAGGTGTTTCCAGCTAAGAACACACCCACCAAAAGATCTGAGAATTGAGGAACCACTCCCAGGGGAGAATCTTATTGGGACAAGAAATTAGTCTGCAACCAGATTCAGAGTGCCAGGAACCTGGCAAGCTAAGACCACAATGTGGTAAGTGTGGGCCCAGAAAAAGAGATCCAGAGTGTGATCAGACAGACACCTGGATTTGGTGCCCCCTTGCTTGGTAACATAACAGACCATAGGGGAGTTGTTGGAATGTACCATAACCACCCTTCCCCACCTGCTCGATGAACCGCCATAAGTATGAGAATGTTGATATGGAGTGAAAAGTCCTCAACCAACCAGAAACTTGAAATACCCCGAGAGTCTAGGTAAGCACCCCAACCCTCTAGAGATACATCTGTGAATAAATATAAATTTGGATGAGGTGAAAAAAGTGGAATTCCTGCTGTGGTCTGGTCTCTATCAAGCCACCAAGCCAGGCCAGCCCTGTTTGTGGAAGAAAGGGTAACAGGGTGGTCTAAGGAATCCAAGGAGAAGTCCCACTGATTGAGGAGTGTCTAATGAAGTGAATGCATATGAGCTCGACCCATGGGAATGAGAGCTTACAAAGAAGCCCACATCCCCTAAAGAGATGAGCCAAGAGAAAGTATAAGGTGAGGTCCTTGGTGACCACTCAGTTCATATCCTAAAGACAAAGAGGAGAAGGATGGGCTTGACTGAGGTTGGAATTGAAGAAAAAACCCAAATGAACAAGGTATTGAGTGGGGGTAACAATGGACTTCTCCACCTTTATCAGAAAAAACCACCTGTGTTGCTTTTTGTAGGAGTAGATGAGTGTGGTCTCTGAACTGTGAATGGGAAAAAGCAAGCAGGAGTCAGTTGTCCATGTAACGAGGAGTGTGAAGTGGGAGGGCGAGATAAACATGTGGCCAGAGAAGACAAGGACAAATGCAATCTAGCCACATCAATCCTGGATTCCAAGGAATCAGGACAATCCCCAAAAATGCTATTGTGTAGGAAAGAGGCCTAATACAAGGATGAATGAGGAGAAGCACCCCCACAAGTAAAGTATCTCTCCCCAACAACACAGGAGCCAGGTATCAAGGGAAAGAGCAGAGGCCAATAAATGGGCCATAATGGACCAAAGGAGGGCCCTGAGCTCATCTGAAAAAAGTTTAGGGGAGTGACAAAAGGCCTCAGACAATAATTGGAGGGATGACTGGTAATGTAAAAGGAAAGATAGGGAAAGGTGAATCTTTGAGAATTGAACCTGATTAAAATGAACCAAAGACCCAGGATCTGAACCCCAAAGGGGGAGTAAAAGATCCAATTGCTGAGAATCCAAATTGTGATGGTACTCCAAAGCATATATGTATATTGGTCCAACAAACGAGGGGAAATGGGGCATACAGACACCCAAATGAAGTTGGTCAGAAAATCTCTGAGCATCAACTTGTATGTTAGGTGAAGGGGGAAAAAACAAAATTCATAAGGTGGAATGTTACCCAGTAAGGAAGGAGAAGCATTATAGACTATAGGGGAAACATGTAAAATACTACATACCTGATTAAAAAGTTTTAAAAAAGGGGTGGGAGGCACAATCTCCTGAATAGGTGTAGATTATGACTGACCAAAATAAGTAGGTGCTAGGAAAAAAAAAAGAATCCAAATTGTCTTTTCCTGGATTGTATTCTTCCTCAGAAACATTGTCAGGTTGAAAAGGAAAGGAAATTTTTTAGAAATATTTAAAGGGCAGAAATAAGATTAAGATAGCTTAATGTTAGGGGAGGTAAAACCGTTTTGGAAATTATTTGAAAATGATAATAAGACTAAGTTCCATGTACATTTTACATCTCAATCATTAACCTATGTTACACTTAAACACCACTGTCATATAATAGAATACAAAAAAACACATGATCTTATAATAGTGAAAACCTTTAGTAATACAACTATAACAACAAACTGTTTAAAAACATTACATCGGTTAGCATGACATTAATACATATATTGATCCAGTGGACACTCACAGTATCACAGCAACAAAACACATCACAAGTTCCTTCATTCAAGTCACAAGGGCAAGAAGCTATCTCTCCAAATGCTGGATTAGAATATCTTTCCAATTTTCTAAAACCTGAAATACAATTTGGATAAAAGCTTATTAATAATAATGTGTTACTCTAAATACAACTAAATATAAAAACATATCAAGTAAAGCCTCATGACCAATAAATTCAACATCTGTTTTGACTAAGAACAATGGCATATGTAAATAAAAGAAACAGCTAACAATACAACTGAAATAAACCAAATCTACTCCATTCAGTGGCCCAGTAATCTTAACTACTATATTTATATTTATGTTTGTTTTTTGAAGTTTGCTCAAAGCAAATCAAGAGCTATTTGTACTAGAGGTCCCTCATTTTAAAGTGATATACGAGAGGGAAAGCAGCTGGTCAACACTATCCACCACCAACTTTTGTACTACTCTAGTTGAATAGTAGGATTTGACCATCACTTTTGTAATGCACCCATAACTCCAAATGCAGAGCAGAATTTTTTTATTTTAGCAGTAAGAGAGTGGGAGCCACAGTACCTCGGGTTCGCAGTCTGTCACGCTAAGAACTGGGCCATGCCTGACCCTTCTATTTGTGTGTACATTAGAAATAAATCAACCATACACTAACAAACTAATTAATTCAATTAAATTAATTACCTCGGTTCCCAGATAAATTAAAACTAACTGAAGGACCATGCTGGACAAACAGCAGTGATGACACTGGCAAGATTTCTCTTCTCTCATCGTCTGCAATTAGTTTCAGACAGCATGCTAACACAAGGCAGTCTATGAAGTAGTGGGTGGTGATGTTTAGTGGCTCCACATGAATGAGGAACGTTTTAGAGTGATCCTACGTGATAGAGAAGCAACGTAAAATTTTACAAAAATTAAAGCATGTATAGAAATAACTGTCACAACAGATTAAAATAGTAGAGAACAGACGAGCATCTACACTGAGTCTCTTTTCAAGATTATTTCATTTGCATGATTGAATGGATAATAAATAACCATAATACGTACAAATAACCATTAATTCATGCATTTAATAACTTTTTACCCCTCAAGTTATTGATATAATATCCACTACCAGAGGGTATACATATTGTGTAATGTCCTGTTTTTTACCTATTACAATACTCATACCTGTTGTTACAATGCCGGGCTGATATCCTTCGAACGATTTTAAATGATTTTAATTTGTGTTGCTAGGTGGTGTATCGTGAAACCAATATAAATTTGTTTACAGCAGGTACATGTGAATTTGTAAATGATGCACGATCTCCATAGAGTGTTGAAATTGTATCTCTCACCTTGTTTGTTTGAAGTTAAACACAAAGCTACGCAATGGACTATCTATGCTCTGCCCACCACAGGTATCAAAACTCAGTTTCTAGCATTGTAAGTCCGCAGACATACCTCTTTGCCACTGGGGGGGGGGGGGGCGTTTCACCTTCAAGAAAACCTTCATGCATACTTGAGACTTATATATCCCCTTCAGCAATACTTATAATGTTTTTTAAAATGTTCAAAACGTTTTTCTTTATCTTGAAACTTGAAAGGACCCATAAAGGGTAACGCAATAGCCAAAGGACGTTTAGCTCCATTGAACGACTGCCTTCTTAACAAGCTTTTCAGGGAAACAGTTCTTCTTTAGAAAGCTTCTGAACAGCAACTCAGAGTTTGTTATAATTATAGTATTTTGGCACTTGTGTATAAAGTTAAAACCATAAATAATATTCAACACTAAACTGGTACACAATTAAAGACATTTTATTTAGGCCTATCTATGGCCTTCAAACAGTTGACGATTCTACATGTTTCGACGTTCCAACGTCATCCTCAGGAAAACGTAACATCGAAACATGTAGAGTCGTCAACTTAGATTTTACAGATATCACATTCTAGTTCTGATGACTCTACATGTTTCGACGTTACAACGTCATCCTCAGGAAAACGTAACGCCGAAACATGTAAAGTCGTCAATGTAGATTTTACAGATATCACATTCTAGTTCTGATGACTCTACATGTTTCGACGTTACAACGTCATCCTCAGGAAAACGTAACGTCAAAACATGTAGAGTCGTCAATGTAGATTTTACAGATATCACATTCTAGTTCTGATGACTCTACATATTTCAACGTTACAACGTCATCCTCAGGAAAACGTAACGCCGAAACATGTAGAGTCGTCAACTTAGATTTTACAGATATCACATTCTAGTTCTGATGACTCTACATGTTTCGACGTTACAACGTCATCCTCAGGAAAACGTAACGCCGAAACATGTAGAGTCGTCAATGTAGATTTTACAGATATCACACTCTAGTTCTGATGACTCTACATGTTTCGACGTTACAACGTCATCCTCCGAAACATGTAGAGTCGTCAACTTAGATATCGTACTCTAGTTCTTCTATGGATTAGTCTTAACTATTTTCTTTATTTTTATGTAAAACACAATATCTGTTTTTACTTGAGAAAAAGAAAAGAAATTACAGTAGAGCTTTTTACAACAATACGTTTATTCCCACTCGTGATAATGATATAACCTGCTTCTACATTCAGTCCAGTGGTACATACTGAACTTTCTAACAAGCAACATAATACAACAACAGTATCCATAGATGAAAAGTTTTAAAATGTACAACACAACCTTTAAATCCTTCACAATGACATTCCAGTTTTTATACGTTTTCATCCAGCCAGTGTGCACATCTTGTTCTTGTCCAGTATCAACAACTGGAGTTAAATCTGCAATAATAGAAAACATTTCATTTAAAAAAAGTTAAGTCTTTAACCTCGGTAAAAAATGAGGTTAACTTACCTCTTTACACACAGTAAGTAATTCTCACTTGCCTTGAACTACCTCCCACTTAAATCGCATGTTTTGACATGAGCGACACGAGTATATGATTTAAACATCATGCGGCAATAACTTTCCATCAGTAGGTCGTTAACACATCTAACATCAGAAGGTGGTTAACACATCTTTATTGTGGTTAACACATCTAACATCAGTAGGTGGTTAACACATCTTTATTGTGGTTAACACATCTATCATCAGTAGGTGGTTAACACATCTAACATCAGTAGGTGGTTAACACATCTTTATTGTGGTTAACACATCTAACATCAGTAGGTGGTTAACACATCTAACATCAGAATGTGGTTAACACATCTTTATTGTGGTTAACACATCTTTTAGGCACATGTAAATCCCCATAAACACTTGCACTCAAAGCTAACTTCATTCTTAGATGAGGTAAGTATAATGTACACCAGCAGTGGGGAGGAAAAGTTGTGCAAAGAGGTAAATATCTATTGAAAATACAGTTTTAGGTGAGAAAAATGTTAACTTCCGAAATGATCCACTTATCTCGCTGCACACAATAGCTAGAATCCTACACTAATGTGGTGGAAGGGCCAGTATAAAAGAGAAAATCTAGATGAACTCCCTTCAGAGAAGATGTCAGAAGATGAAAGTCTTGGTGCACACAATAGCTAGAATTCTACACTAATGTAGTAGAAGGGCCAGTACAAAAGAGAAAATCTAGATGAACTCCCTTCAGAGAAGGTGTCAGAAGATGAAAGTCTTGGTGCACACAATAGCTAGAATCCTACACTAATGTAGTGGAAGGGCCAGTACAAAAGAGAAAATCTAGATGAACTCCCTTCAGAGAAGGTGTCAGAAGATGAAAGTCTTGGTGCACACAATAGCTAGAATCCTACACTAATGTAGTAGAAGGGCCAGTACAAAAGAGAAAATCTAGATGAACTCCCTTCAGAGAAGGTGTCAGAAGATGAAAGTCTTGGTGCACACAATAGCTAGAATCCTACACTAATGTAGTGGAAGGGCCAGTACAAAAGAGAAAATCTAGATGAACTCCCTTCAGAGAAGGTGTCAGAAGATGAA